CTAAAGTATATGGAGTTTAGTAAGCTAAGTTCTAAGCTCTCAACTCAAATTGATAATAAAATAAAAAATAAAAAAACAATAATTCAAGAGAGATACAAACTAAATCAAGAAATGATAAAGCTATGGATCTACCTTTGATGTACCAAAGAGGGAAAAATCACTCCTAATGGACAACTAGAGGGGTTACAGTAAGAAAGCTAGATTAGAACTTAGCTTACCTCGACAAAAAAATTTAGAATTGGCACAACAGCTGGAATGCTAGACTAGAAATAGTTGGGGCTACAAGTAAACAAATAGCAGAAACTCAAAAAAGAACACCAAATGCTTAGAGTTGGAGGGAGAAAAAGCTAAAAGGATTTTGGATGGCTCTAGTAACTTGACGTTGAAAAGGAGAAGCTCTATATATGCTGGAATGAGCTGGTAGCAGGTTGGAAGCTTGGTGCAGATCAGAAACATCAATGAAATATAGGGAAGCACAACATCGGCAATATAAAGGCTTAGTATTTTCGTAAGCAATATCCAGGGGAAGAATCTATAGAATGGAGCCACTTTAAAGTTGAGGCCGGCAAGGTTAGTTGAGTGAGCAAACCTAATTTATTTCCAATTTCCTTGATTCTATTGACAAAAATGGGTTTGATTTAGATGCGGGCTTAACTGGATAGAATAAGAATGACATGGTTACTAAAAAGTGTAAAGAGAGGACAAAGCACTTTCCAAAAAGAGGGAGAACCAGAGGCAAATTTTAAAAATATGTAGAGAGGATAGTAAATCTTTTAGAGAGTGGGCAGAAGATAAAGCTATCACAACGAACTAACAATTTTGATAAAAGTTTGAATTTCAAATTGAAATTTTCAAAAATTCTTCTCAAAACTTCCAAATTCAAAATTTTTTCAAGTAAAAGCTCAAACTTAAAAGAAAAAAAAAAATCTGTATAGCACATAATCAAGAAGTAAAAAGCAAATAAGTCATAAAAATTCAAATGAAAAATAATTGCCGTAAAGGGAGCATGGAAAAAATATGTTTTAGATGTTTTGATGGTACAAGCAATAACTGATGAAGAAAAATCTACATAAAAACAGTCTATATAATACTTTTGAGGATGCAGGAAGTGAGGGGGGAGTGGTGACAATTCTATGACTCCAACAAAAGCTCCATGTTATTCTCTTATCATATGATGCTTTTTGTAGCACTACTCTATTTACTTACCCAACTAACTCCAAAAGATCTAAAAAATATATCCATTATATCCCCATCTTAAATTTAACCAGCCAACTAACTCCAAAAGATCTAAAAAATATATATCCATTATATCCCCATCTTAAATTTAACCAGATAGATTTGCATGCCCACATATCGATGCTTTCAATGATTGATATTTGTAAACATTTAGGCCACCAAAATTGATAGCATTCTCAATATATATATATATATATATATATATGTGTGTGTGTGTGTGTGTGTGTGTGTGTGTATGTATGTATGTATATGTATGTATGTATGTATGTATGCTTTAGTATTATTTTTGAAATTGATTAATTTGGCAAAAAAAAGGAAATACTTCGCTACATGCAAGATGAAAAACCTAGCTTTCAAGCTTTTCTTCCTAATGAGAGATATAAGATGGTCAAAAGCATGCTTTGCGGAAAAATTACGAATGATGGAATAACAAAGCATAGAAAATATCTAGTTAGGTGGCATATGAAGAACAAACGTCTTTCTTTTTCAACGCAAAAAATGAAGAAATCACATAAGACATAAATAAGGACCAAAAAAAATTAATCAAATAATGCATTTGACTAATGGTTTAGAAGATGATTATGATGAGAAAGAAAATGATGTTGTTGGGGCTACAAAAGGAAATCAAACTTCCACATTTACACAAAATTGGAAGGTGTAAAGGCAAAAGAGTATTTAGAGACATCTCACTTAAAAAATGAAGCGGTGAAAGAGAAACAATAAGCAAATACAAAAGAAAATGAAGCACAAAGAAAATGAGAGAGTAGAGAACAATCTAACTTTCACAATATAGATGCACGATATTGTAATCTCTATTTAATTTAGTAAGAATGATAGCTCTCTAGCAGAGGTGGAGGTTTTCAAACATTTTGATAATGGATTAAAATCTCTAATGTGATCAATTGGTTTGGGTTGCTTTGTGATGTAAAGGAATGGAACACATGAAGAAGTTATTGCAACCTCAAAGAGATGATTATGCAAGTATGATTGCTATTATAGCTGATATTTGGCAATGTTGAATTAAAAAAAGTTGGATAGACTTTCTAAAAAATTGAGTAAGACGAATCATTACATTTTAAAATCAATTCATATTATGTCATAAAAGTGATTTAGGGTCCATATGGGACAGTGTTGAAAATTGTTTTAGTTCGTAAGAGTACATGTTAGTATTTATTAATATTTCATCTGAATTGTATAGATTAAATTTAATAACTTCCTATGGCTGTATTTTGATATTCACCAGTTTTCACTATCTTCATACTTCATAGACAATTCTTGCTGAAGAAATGTAAATTTTGATATTGACCTCTTGTGATGCACCTTTCATGAATTTGTTTATAGAAAACCTCTTTAAAAATTGGAAGTTAAAGGGTGTATTTAAGTGGTTGCGATGCTTATCTTCATGCACACAATGCCGAAGATGATTGATTTGCAAAACATATGGACTAATAAAAACACACCACAAAAGCCGTCAAATTGATTTTGCTCGTCACTTTCGAAGAGATTTCATGTGCAACAATCAAATTTGAAGTGATGACCATGGCAAAGAGTTTCTCTAGAGCCCTTATGCATACAAAGCACAAACAAGGTAATGAAAGTCCTCTTTAAAGGAAAAAAACTACTATGGGTAACATATTTGAAGTAATTGATAAGCTAAGCAAGCAGTAACTAGATCTTTTGACTGTCAAGGAATAAAAGTACCAACATGGGGCTTGAACTCATTAATATTGATGGGAATATTGATTTCATCCCCTTAGCTTCCAACTGCTCATTTCTTAAATGCGCGCTACATCAATAATATCCAATATAGATAAATAAAAAATATGTATGATAGTATGAACGCAGAGAAGAATGACTCATCATTACAAATGAGGAGAAAGAAAAAAACAATGAGTTCAGTGAGACTGTAGGAGCGGTGATTCTTTAGCATTTCCACAGCTGTGATGCAAAGATTCACTTAAATACAAGAATCAAGATAAATTAAGTTTTTATAATCAGTTTTAATCATTAGTTCAATAATACATAATAGTTATATAAAACTTAAATACTAGTAACTATATATGCAATTGATTGGTGGCTAGTTTATGGTTTATCTATTCATAATTAGCACGATGGTTAAAGTGTTTAGCATCGCCTATAGTGCATCCAGGCATGTATGCAATTGGAGTTTGATTGAATATGTAAGTCATAAACTTGAATATTTCATAAAATGAGCAAATATATTCATGTTACTTATGTAGATTTTAATTGCTGATAGAATAATCCTATTTCTTTGCAACTCCATGACAAATAAGAAACAAGTTGGAGGATGGTAAGAAATAAGAATTTGGGGTTTATGAAATGCATTAGCACTTTGATTAGATGCTACTAACATGGAAACACCATTGATCCAATTTCTATCAATTTGAACTCATAGAGGTTGACATTTTTTTCATCTCACCCACTAAATTTAAATGTATCGATTTGAACTTAATTTTTCACAAGTCAAAGAAATTACTTTTCAAAACTAAGTTATGATTCCAAATAAAACTTAAATTTGTATGTTAGAATAAGATTTTACCCAAGCCATAATAATTCCATTATGTCTTTCAATTACACATCATGTTTTAAATCAATAACAGAAATATAATTGCTTCAAAGAGTGGAAAATTTTTAGTTAGCTGCTGGTTTATGATTCGGCATTTGCATGGAAAGAAATAAAGGCATCGAAAATAACGGCAAAAGCCAATGAAAATTTTATATTTAAGTATATTGAAAAACACGCAATTATCAGAGTTTTTTGTATTTTTGTTTCCATGAGGTGTAAATAATACGAAATGTACATGCCAGCTAACAAACAGTTCAAGGAGTACTAATAGATTTATGATATATTTTCAAAGTTCTCTCAACCTCTAGATTCATCTTTATTTTAAACACACTTCTCGTTAATTAGATGCTTTTGAATTATATGCACCTGGTCACCCTAATTCTTATTAGTAAGATAAGAAGAAAGTAAATCAGATATTCCTCAACAATAATGAAAAGGGTTAAATTTTGCATTCATGCCTAGAATTTGAAGATAAATTTTGCATATGAAAGAACAATAGTTTCAACTGATAGCAAATACTCCTTATTAAAAATAAAGGTACAGAATTCATGCCTAGAATTTGAAGATAAATTGTGCATATGAAAGAACAATAGTTTCAACTGACAAACTGAAATAGCAAATACTCCTTATTAAAAATAAAGGTACAGAAGTTGTCATAGATATGCAAAAATTAGTTTCTTAAACTAACTTCCGCCACCACCGTTGGCCTTGAAAAACGAGTAGACAACTTCATGTAACAAATGCTCACTGTACGCACAACCAAATTTTCACTAATATTATCAATTACATGCTTCTACAAGCTGCTTGTTTACAGCCCAAACTTCCAAATTACACAGCAAGATAATGGTTCATTTTTCACCGTAAAACTCATATCATCAATATTCAAAAACTAGTATTCCATTGCAAAATCCAATTCAATTTATTTTCATGGGTGCTCTATGAATGATCAGTTCAGATTCCAGGATGTCAACATTTCCTAAATTATTAATAAAGAACAATTCATGATTTTCAAAAGTACAATGTAAAAGCTTCCAACCCCTGGTAATGACTCAAAATACAAAAAAATTAGGACACATAAAACAACACAATGAAACCTAGCTTCCTCACGATGATAACAATGCAGTAGATCATAAAATTGCAGAAGAGATGTGATTAGAGAGAGGAAGGGCGGAGATACCCGTTATCGTTCCATGAACCACAGTCCCGTTCTTGAGTTCAATCGAAACGGTCTCATTGTTGAGCTTCATTAAAAACCTAAGACAAAAGAACAGAACCCCGTCGCTGAGCAGTTGAATACAAGAAAAACAGGAGGGGGTGGAGAGACGGGAAGACGAAAGAAAAATACCTGACGAGCTTCATCCTCGCGAGTGATAGGCGGCGCTAGGGTTCCGATCTGGCTCTGCGAACCCAAGCCAAAACCCTTCCCGAGAACAATTCGCCCGAGCTCCAAACCTAGTGTTTCCGACCACGCCAACAGCACTGATGTCCGAGCGTAGAGAATGCGCCCTCGTTATAAAGGTTTGTTGTACAGATAATTATTAAAACCTTCCCATAATTAGGGGGTGTAAAGGAATCGAATAAATATTGTGTTTGTGTTTGATTCGTTTAAAATTTAACTTATTTGAGATAAGATCGTGTTCAAAATTATTCGAGGAGTTACTGTTCGTGTTCATTTCTTAACGATCGAGCCGAACACAAGCTGTTCGCAGACGACGAGCCACTTTGACATCCATAATATTAATATATATATAAATAATATATTATATTTATTATATAACTTATATTATATAAATATATAATATTTATATTAGTAGATTATTAATATATTATTATTATTATTAATTTATTATATATTATAATTTATAAAATTTATTTTTTAAAAATATCATAAAAATTTTATATATAATTAGTTTAAATTATTCTATATTTCGAACAATAACGATGCGAACACGAACAAACCCATCATTCCTCGTATTTGGTTCGTTTAATTAACCCAACGAAAAAAATTTGTTCACGTTCGTCTTGTTTACTTATCGAACGAATCGAACACAACTCATTGACAAACCAAACACAAGCTGTTCACGAACAATGAGCTTTTTTGACAGCACCACCCATAATTATTTATATCACTTATTTTAATTTCAAAATTCATAACAATATTAAATTAGTCCTTAAATATTTATTAATGGAGGTAAAATAATCCACATTTTAAAGTGTTTAGGGCTGCTTCACCTCATCTTTTGAAATTATGGGGATTAATTTGACAAATTTATAATTTCCAAGACTAAAATGATATGTTCAAATAATTGTTGAATGATTTCAACATTTTTTTTTCATGTGGATATGACGAGAATAATAAAATCACTCAGATATCTAATTTTAATAAATAATTTAATTTATTGTTAAAAATAAATTATTTTAAATTAATTTTATGACACATTCACGAAATAATGTATATTATTTTTTACTAATAAATATACTTTATTTTTTATTGGTTGTAATATTTCACAAATTATGATAAAATGTTGAATTCTGATTTGTCTAGGGAGGACACCTACATTGCTATGATTCCGTATCCGAGCAAATTACATAAAAATTAATGCACAAAATTTAAAATAAAAAATAGTGGTCTTCTTGTGCACCGAGCCATTAGTGGCCTCATGTCGTGTCTACATAAGTCAAATCAAAGCGGGAAAGAGCCAAAATTAGGATCCAGAGTTCAATTCGGGCCAAATCCGAGCTAATAACACCGAGATCCGGCTAAAACACCCTAATAACACAAAAAAAACTCTCAAAAACTCCACATTGGACAGTTTTTTTTTCTTTTTTACTTTTATTTCTCAGAGAAAGAACAGTATGGATTATGGAAAGTTCTTTTTGCTTTTGCTTTTGGAGAGTGATTGCTCTAATAAATGAGTTCTAGAAGTCGAACTAGAAAAACAAGAAAAGAAGAAGGAGAGACTATTTTGGAGATATGTTCGGAATTCAATGAATCACCTCTATGTGGAGCTGACAGAAAAAAAAACTCGTTTTCTTGTGATCCGACTCGGTAACACAGAAGAACATTCCTCCCGTGTTATTCCGCGTTATTCATGTATTATTGTGGTAGTATTAATGTGTTATTGTGTTATTATAACACCATGAATATTCTCAAAATATAATAATACATGAATATCACCTTAATGACACCTGAATAACGCGAAATAACACGGGAGGAATATTTCATTGTGCTAAAACAAATTTTTTTTAATTTTTCTGTCACATCCAGGTGGCGTGATTTCATCGGACTCCGGACGTAATATTTGGTCCTATTTTTGTCATTTTAGTTTTCCAAAAGGTGGAACGACACAGTTGTGGAGCGTTCGGCTGGAGGCCACTCCGAGCTCGCGTTTTAAACGACGAAGTCCTAATGAAATGTGATAACTGCTAGAAAGTTACGATCTGATTTTTAAAAAATAAAACAAATTTATAATAGTTATCATTGATTTTTTAATAATATTTTCTTCTATCATAATTTTATAATTACTTCTTCAAATAGATAAATTATCCCAAATACAACTTAAAATTGCATGCAATGATGTCATGCATGAATTATATATGTTGCGGGCCATTAAAAAAATTTGCTTTGAATAAATGTTAATAAGCCTTATTACGAAAACAATGCTGATTTGATGGAGCACATAGACGGCATGTATAATGGAATATCATTATAACTCTATGAGAATCCAAAGATAATAATATACACCTATGTCGATGCAGAACAACGTTCCTTGAACTAAAATTTTCTAATTATTGAATGAATGATAAGCGATAGGTCCATACTTTTTGAGGCATGTGAAAGTGATCAAGAGTTGCTTCATTCCTACTCCAAGGGGCTGTCTCAAAGCTTATGATGATAAAGAGTAGAAAGACCTTCCTCTTATATTAATATTGAACTTGAATTAATATATATATATATATATATATATATACATATATATTTCAGCTTCACCTTGATTTTACCTATACCTTTAAAATTGCATTTTAAAAGAAGTTTACATGGTATGACCTTCTGGTTTTGAGTATAGAAATGAATATCATCTGGATTATAAACTTTGAAAAGTGGTTTTTGTCAGGTTCTATGGGAATCGATCAAGAAATTTGAGATATATATTCGAAATTTGAGTTTCAGTGATAATTATTTTAGAATAAGTGGTTATATTGTGCTTTGAATATGTCTCCTAGTTGGAGATAAGATTCTCAATCAACTCCTTGAAAGCTTTACACAAGTTGAATAATTCTCTCTTGTTTTTCTTAAATCTATTTACAAATATTATATTTTGATTTTTGTTTATGTAGAGATGACATTGTAATCCTAAGCACTGATTAAGAAAAAAAATTAACTTTTCTACTTTAGTTTTTCAACAAAATGTTGCCACTAAATAAATTGAGAGAACACTATTATTTCCTAGTTAAATATAGAAGTGTAGGATACTCAAAATGATATGCTATTACTACACAAGAAATATGAAACACATTTGCTAACAAAAACTAAAATGGATAAAGGTAAGTCATTGCCAACACTGATGATCAACATAATAAATTGAGTACACATGATATGATTTAGTTTAAGGATCTTAATTTTAAGTTGCATTGTTGGAACATTTTAATATGCCACAAATACTAGATAAATATAGAATTTAGCCAACCATGTGAGTTAGTTGATGCATTGCCCTCAAGAGGATTATTTTAAAATTGGAAATCACATTCATTTTCTAAAACAATAATCACGCTTGAACATAATTGGATACTCATTTGCTAATTGGGGAAATTATTTTGATGATCAACAATTAACTTCATGCATTTTTTATTTATGTTAGTGATAATGTAGTTTCTTGGAGTTCAAAATTAATCCACTATCTTATGATGAACTATAGGATAGAATATTGAAACTAGGCTCATAGTACAATTAAAATATTTTGGGTTATTACTTTATAAAGGAACTTCAAATTCACCATGCTCAAGCTTTATTTGGATATCCAATTCAAGCATTGTTTCAATATCATTTAACAGAAGTTTACACAAACAAACTAAACATTTGGAGATTGATCTTTATTATGTGCATGAAAAAGTTATAAATGATACCATTACAATGCATTCTCATCGAACATTTTTAAGCATAATTCCTAGCCTACCTTTCAATTGAGTAGGGTGTTAACAAAAATCACTATCATAATTTTAACTCTGTTTTGCAACACACCATTCTACCATTACAATGGGAGAGTGTTTACATGAGATGACTAGGAAGCTTGAGAGTTCATAACAAAGGAAGATTGCTAGCATAATAAAGAGAGAGTGCTTGTACATGGGACATACTTGATTTGGGGTTATATATAATAACCTAAACAATATACTTAAGTTATTAATGAAAGTATTATTGGTAATTCATCAAACATCTATTTGAACTTACACATCTCTATAAGACGAAACTAATGATACCAAGAAAAAATTTATGTGAGTACTAATATGGCTTGATCAAGTGCACAAAATATACTATGAAATTTTACAATATTATTCGAGAGACTGAATGGCCTATGATTCTTGCATACTTTTGATTAAAATAAGAAGTTAAATAATAAAAATAAATGATCCTAAGATCATATTCAATTATAATATATTTAATTTGTTAATATATACAATAGCTTTGACCCATTGCCGATGCCAAAAATGCAAGTTTGTCAAATTCATGGCAAGTATCAAACAGCTGAATGTAATGGTTGCATCGGATTTTCTGCGCAAACCTGTATGAAATAAAAAAAATACAGCATAATTATTAGATTTATACATACATGCACACAACAAATACAAGCAACATAATATGACATTTTTCTAACATTATAACTTAAATAGAAATCACCAACAAGTCTAAACAATGACACCAAATTAAACTAATAAAAATGAATCCATGCCTTCAAAGTTCACAACTATAGAAACTGAAAGTTCACTTAAACAGAAATGAAAATAAAAAATAATAACTCCCTATGGACATATATATAATAAAAATTCTATTCCTCCTCCTCCTCCTCCACCACCACATCCTCGTGAAAAACACTCACATGTCGCTTGCTTGATGATCAAAACTCCTTGTCAGACGTGCTAGACCATCTTCAACCCTTTGCTGGCCTTTAAGAATCTGTTAGAGCTCTTTATTCATCAACATGACCCGCCTGACAAGCACTTTAGGCTGAGCCAATAACGAGTCCACCCATAGCTGCATGAGGGTGCTCGACCTCAAATGTCACATCCTTTTCGCCTAGGTCGTACAACCTCTCATTCTTCTTCCCCGCCGCCAGCATCCACAACTCAAAATGGGACTGAGTTGTTATGCCTAATCAGATTGGTCCACATCTAGATAATGCTTAATCATATTGGTCCTCTAGTATGGAAGATTCAAAAAACACTCAGCTTCATCCAGCTATGTATAATACTAAAATCTGGAAAATGACTCGAGGCTAGTTTCGATCT